ATGAATTCCAACGTAAGTCGGCCGATTCGGCCGCCCACTTAATGGGTTAGGCCCTAGTTTTTTTTTTCTCACAGGTTTTTTCAGTCTTTTTGTAAAAATTGTTTTCAACGTTTTGTTTTTTTTTTTCTTTGATAAGTGTTAAATTTTTTAATTTTGTGTAAACTAATTGGATACAACATCCAAACCCCTAAGAGGTGTTCTAGGTTCAATATGGTTTACACATTATTAAATTTTTAACACTTGTATTTTTTTAAAATGTTTTGTTTTTTTTTTCTTTTTTTTTGATAAGTGTTAAATTTTTTAATTTTGTGTAAACTAATTGGATACAACATCCAAACCCATAAGAGGTGTTCTAGGTTCAATATGGTTTACACATTATTAAATTTTTAACACTTGTATTTTTTTTAAAATGTTTTGTTTTTTTTTTCTTTTTTTTTTGATAAGTGTTAAATTTTTTAATTTTGTGTAAACTAATTGGATACAACATCCAAACCCCTAAGAGGTGTTCTAGGTTCAATATGGTTTACACAATATTAAATTTTTAACACTTGTATTTTTTTAAAAATGTTTTGTTTTTTTTTTTCTTTTTTTTTGATAAGTGTTAAATTTTTTAATTTTGTGTAAACTAATTGGATACAACATCCAAACCCCTAAGAGGTGTTCTAGGTTCAATATGTTTTACACATTATTAAATTTTTAACACTTGTATTTTTTTTAAAATGTTTTGTTTTTTTTCTTTTTTTTTTATAAGTGTTAAAGTTTTTAATTTTGTGTAAACTAATTGGATACAACATCCAAACCCCTAAGAGGTGTTCTAGGTTCAATATGGTTTACACATTATTAAATTTTTAACACTTGTATTTTTTTTAAAATGTTTTGTTTTTTTTTTCTTTTTTTTGATAAGTGTTAAATTTTTTAATTTTGTGTAAACTAATTAGATACAACATCCAAACCCCTAAGAGGTGTTCTAAGTTCAATATGGTTTACACATTATTAAATTTTTAACACTTGTATTTTTTTAAAAATGTTTTGTTTTTTTTTTCTTTTTTTTGATAAGTGTTAAATTTTTTAATTTTGTGTAAACTAATTGGATACAACATCCAAACCCCTAAGAGGTGTTCTAGGTTCAATATGGTTTACACATTATTAAATTTTTAACATTTGTATTTTTTTTAAAATGTTTTGTTTTTTTTTTCTTTTTTTTTGATAAGTGTTAAATTTTTTAATTTTGTGTAAACTAATTGGATATAACATCCAAACCCCTAAGAGGTGTTCTAGGTTCAATATGGTTGACACATAATTAAATTTTTAGCACTTGTATTTTTTTAAAAAATGTTTTGTTTTTTTTTGATAAGTGTTAAATTTTTTAATTTTGTGTAAACTAATTGGATACAACATCCAAACCCCTAGGTGTTCTAGGTTCAATATGGTTTACACATAATTAAAATTTTTAACACTTATTTTTTAAATGTTTTTTTTTAAATGTATTTTTTCTTTTTTTTGATAAGTGTTAAATTTTCTAATTTTGTGTAAACTAATTGGATACAACATCCAAACCCCTAAGAGGTGTTATAGGTTCAATATGGTTGACACATTATTAAATTTTTAACACTTTTATTTTTTTAAAAATGTTTTGATTTTTTTTCTTTTTTTTTTGATAAGTGTTAAATTTTTTAATTTTGTGTAAACTAATTGGATACAACATTCAAACCCCTAAGAGGTGTTCTAGGTTCAATATGGCTTACACATAATTAAAATTTTAACACTATTTTTTTTTTAAATGTTTTGCTTTTTTTAAAAGTGTTAATTTTTTTAATGTTGTGTAAACAAATTGGATACAACATCCAGACCCATAAGAGGTGTTATAGGTTTAATATTGTTTATACACAATTAAAATTTTAACACTTGTATTTCTTTTTTAAATGCTTTGTTTTTTTTCTTTTTTTTGATAAGTGTTAAATTTTTTAATTTTAGTGTAAACTAATTTGATACAACATCCAAACCCCTAAGAAGTGTTATAGGTTCAATATGGTTTATACATAATTAAAATTTTAACACTTGTTTTTTAAAAATTTTTTTTTGTTTTTGTTTTTTTATGTGTTAAATTTTAGTTAATTGGATACAACATCCAAACCCCTAAGAGGTGTTATAGGTTCAATATGGTTTACACATAATTAAATTTTTAACACTTGTTTTTTTAAAATGTTTTTTTTTTCTTGTTTTTTTTGATAAGTGTTAAATTTTTTAATTTTGTATAAAATAATTGGATACAATATCATCTATACCCTAAGAGATGTTATAGGTTCAATTTAGTTTTACATATAACTAAAATTTTAAGGGATAAATTTTAAATTTTTTAAAACAAAACCGGACACAACATTCTGTCTAGATTATTTGGTCTTTAAGTGTTCCAAGTTCAACATGTTTACACATAATAAAAATTTTAACATGTAATTTATTTATTTTACTCAAAAATATTTTAATTTTGATTAAACTTACATGTTTAAGTAAATGGATTAGAAATGGGTTTAACATGTAATTTATTTATTTTACTCTAAAATATTTTAATTTTGATTAAACTTACATGTTTAAGTAAATGGATTAGAAATGGGTTTAACATGTAATTTATTTATTTTACTCTAAAATATTTTAATTTTGATTAAACTTACATGTTTAAGTAAATGGATTAGAAATGGGTTTAAGCCTCTTTTTCGAGTCCCTTTCCTTCTCTTTATTTTTTAGTAATTTTTTCTTAAGTGAACATTTAATAATAAAGAAAAACTCTTTGTATTATATTGCTCTTACAAATTAATGTTTTATTTTAAATTTTAGAAACACAAATTGATTTTTACTCTACTATACATTTAAATTTTACGTCATACTAAAACTCATTAACACATTCAAAAATTTGAAGTATGATTATTTTTAATTTTGTCTATGTTAAAATTTGAATTATATTATTATTACTAATAAAATAATAATAGGGAGACTCACAAAAATACCCCTTTTTCAATACCCCTTTTCAAAAATGCCCCCTTTGGCTGTCCATTTTTAAAAATACCCCTTTTTATGTACAAAATGACTAAATTACCCTTCTTTTAATAAAAGATATTACAAATATATAAGGAAATATAACAAAATTAGGTTCACAAAATACAAAATATTTTTGGCGGGAAAAGTGATCCCACAATTTTTCCCGCCAAAAACACTTGTAAAACCTTTAAAATACCTTGTAAAATTTTCCCGTAAAATTTTTTCCCGCCAAAAAATTTTCCCGCCAAAAATTTTTTTTGCGGGAAAAGTGATTCCGCAATTTTTTTGGCGTTAAATTTTTTGCGGGAAAAATTTACAAGGTATTTTAAAGGTTTTTTACAAGGTATTTATAAGGTTTTACAATGTATTTTAAAAGGTTTTACAACGTATTTATAAGGTATTTATAAGATATTATAAGATTTTACAAACTATTTTATAAGGTTTTAAAAGTTATAAGATTTTACAAGTTTTTTATAAGGTTTTACAAGTTGTAAATACTTTATAAAACCTTATAAGTACCTTGTAAAACGTTTTAAAATACATTGTAAAACTTTACAAAACACTTGTAAATACTCTGTAAAACTTTTAAAATACCTTGTAAATTTTTCCCGCCAAAAATTTTCCCGCCAAAAATATTGCGGAATAACTTTTCCCGCAAAAAAAATTTTTGGCGGGAAAATTTTTTGGCGGAAAAAATTTTTACGAAAAAATTTTACAAGGTATTTTAAAGGTTTTTACAAGTGTTTTGGCGGGAAAATTGGGGGATCACTTTTCCCGCCAAAAAATATTTTGTATTTTGTGGACCTAATTTTGTTTCAAATAAGGGTAAAATGGTCATTAAAAATTAAAAGAGGGCAAACTTAAAAATGGACTCTCAAAGGGGGCATTTTTGAAAAGGGGTATTGAAAAAAGGGCATTTTTAACAAATTCTCATAATAATAATAGTAGTTTTACTATTGTAAATTTTTATTTATTTTATTTTATTCGTTTTTGTTTAATTAAAACTTATATAAATTATAATTAACATTAATATAAATTGTAATTAGACTTTAATGTAAAAATTAAAAAATATTGACTAATGACTTGGCTTTTTTTTGAATTGGATGTTTAACATGATGATGTGTATACCTTAAGAAGAGAGAAAAGGAGAGAAAATTCTCCAGCTGTATATAACTCTTCTAATTGTTAATTTTATTTTGTAAACTGTTGATTTATTAGTTAGTTAAATTATAATTTATGTTGAATGGATTATTTACATAAAAATATGGTTTTTGGTGAAGGTAGGAATGATTTGCTAAGGACAGAATGAGATTAAAATATTTATAAATGATAATGTTTCAAACAACAACAATATACATATTTAAGTTTGATAAATTTCGCAAACGACCCTTTTCTAAAACTATCTAAACCATTGAATAACATTTATGACAGCAAATGCTTGTTTCTACAAATTTCAGCCTAATCGCACCCCATATAAATGGGCTTTTGCAAAAATGCCCCCTTTTTAATGCCACTTTTCAAAAATGCTTCTTTTTAAAAACCTTATAAAAAATGCTCTTTAAAATATAAGATTTACCCAAATATGTATGTAACATTATTAAAACATACACAAACTACATTTCTATGTATCTAAAATCTTATAAATACTTTATAAATACCTTATAAATGCATTTTAAATACCTTTAAAAACCTTTAAAATATCTTGTAAAACCTTTGAAAAACCTTTAAAATCCTTTAAAATAACTTGTAAAACCTTTAAAAACATCTTATAAAACCTTATAAATACTTGGATCGAGTCTTCAAGTAGTAGTTACAATCCATAAGTACCTTATAAACCTAATAAATTTTATAAAAATTTCAGATTTAAAAAGGGACATTTTTGAAAATGGATATCTAAAAGGGGCATTTTTGAAAAAGGGCACACCAAAAGGGGCATTTTTAACAATTTTCCCCATATAAATCTGTCGAACTCTACTAAATCCAATCACATGTTATTATTAGTACTAGGAGACGAAAAAATGTGTACTAGGATATCCTCAAAATGTATCTACTCTCAAGGCTCCATATTTATTTTGCAACCCAAACAGATATGACAAAAAATATCAATCTGAGTAAAAAAATTCACCAGCTGTATCGACAAATCCTCGCTACCTCTTGTCTCATCTTCCTCTGGCCACACACTAGAAGCTCTGTTTCACACAATAAACAGAGTTAGAACTCAACATATACTCTTTAGTAGTATAGTCTGATACGTATATGAAAATGTTATGATCTTAAACTGACTTTTTTTGGTATCAACCTTAAATAGACTTAGTGACTTACTGTTAAGGTCAGGCCTCTCTGCGTAATGAATGTCGGTGGACTGTGATAGCAATTGCTGCGGCGACATTTTTGCATTCTATTGACCGGAAAATGAAACGTTTAAGAAGAGAGATTAAGCTCTCGATTAATGAGGCACGCGATTTGAAAAGGAGAGGACCACTTTGATGATATTCCATTATTAAAGCAAGAGAGTCCGTGACAATTTGCGGCGTGATCCATCGTAGTGCATGTGTTGTTTTTGACTTATTGCTTCACATTTTAATATTAGTACTAGTCCCACACATTTTGCAACCCCTACATCTATGATACGACATGAATCTGAATTTAAAATTCACCAGCTAAAACTAATAGAATCAAAGTGAAGATTCTCAGCCAAACCTAACGAACAAATATTCGTTACCTCTTGTCTCATCTTCGTCGGACCACACACAAGAACTCCCACGCTCGAACCCGGTACACCAACTAGAAGCTCTGCTTTCACACAGTGAACAGAGTTAAGAACTCTGAAAACCATCATATATACTCTATATAGTAGCATAATCTGATATATATGAAAAATGTTATAATCTTAAATAGACTTACTGTTAAGATTAGGCCTCTCTCCGTAGTAAATGTCGGTGGATTGCGATAACAATTGCTGCGGTGAGCTCTCGATAATCAACGGAGACCAATTGTCGACATATTGGTCACTTTTCGCGTAATACCTTTTTTTGTTCCACAACATAGCAGCCGTAGAAGTAGTCACCACGCTAATGGAGATCGATATAAGGTAAATGAGCGATTTATAAGCCCAAGTGTACTTTTCCGAGTTTTGATCGATTGGGTAGATGTGATATCTCGTTATGATTGCGATGATGACAATAAAGATCATGAAGGAAGAAGAGAGGATGGTTGCAAGACAGAGCCAAGAGTTGGGCCCGAGGATTGGTGAGATGGGTTGGTCTGAGACGTTTGGTTTGAAATATAGGGTTTTGATGATATTCCTATTGTGAGTTGATTCTTTTACTGGGTTTTTCTCCTCTCGGGTAACGAAGGCTTTGATCTGGATATCTACAAACGAGGAGATGTCGGTGGTGAGACCGGAAGTTGGTAGGATTAGGTCAAGCATGGAGAGGTCGGAAGAGTTTTTAAAGGCGCAGATTAGGGTCATTTTAGGGATTTTAGATTTGTGCGTTGAACTCATGTAGTATAGGTCGCGGATTATGGAGATAAACGGTGTAATCCCACTGCCTCCACTCACCATCACCAGAGAGTCATGTCTGCTCTTAAAGAAAAACAGAGCATCAATGTTACTTGTGTTGGAAGAAACTGAATGTTGAACTTCTCTGTTTGTGATTTAAGTGAATTACCGTAGGAAATCAGTGGAACTAGGGCCGTAGGGTCCCTCGACGGAAACAGCGAGGCGATTGATTTGATCAGAGGAAGATGAAGAAAGCATATCGTAAAGCTTACTGGACCATTTTCCTTGGCTCTTGATCATAACACTTAACGTCTCTGGTTCGAGTTTGCTACTAGAAATTATCGTAAATGGATGCCACTGAAGCTTCGAAATACTCGGTATGTTCACGAACATAGTGCTTGTCGGGCTATACATCAACACTGTAATATCAATTTAGCATATGATTATTGAATCATGATCAATTGAAGAAGTGAAAAACAGAGGGGACATAATTAAACTTACTAGGGTTTTTGGAGAAATTGAGCTCAACGGTGTCACAAGGAAGAACACGAGCAGAGACTAGCTTGACATTGTTGCGTGACTGAAGAGACCTCAAGAAACGATCAACGAGGAAGATGTAGAAACCGGGAAAAGAAATCAACGCATGAGAGATGCCGACGTGGAAGACGAAGAAGAGCATGAAGACGATGTAGAGATAATGAGTATAAAAGAAGACTTCGAAGAATCTCCTCCTTATCTTCGGATATGTGGTGACCCACATCATAAGTCCGGCCACCAGAGCTATCTCTCCGGCTAAATTCGAGACACCGGTCCTATCCCACTCCAACATCTATTTACTCCAACGATTAAGTGCATTGAATGTAACATTATAGAACAATATCGACGAATAATGTAAAAAAGATTAACCTGGGAGACTAATTGATTCTTGGATATCCAATAGATAAAGTAACAGAGACCGTGGCTGGTGAATAAGATCATGACCAAGTGTCCCAGCCATATATGGTACTTGATGCTCGACTCCGACGTAAGCCCCACTGCAGCCAGCAACGACGAGCCACGAGCCACTGGATAGAACAAGAACGCCAAGCATATGTTCCCTACTATACCTAGCCGTACTGCTATTAAATCCAACCTCGCTTGCCATCTTTTTCAGGTTTGCCATAAAACAAACACATATAGGCCAAAAAAATTTTGTCATATAGTTTAACTAATTGTACATGTCAATGTCATTTTGCGAAAGTTGTTTATAAAACGGCCAAATTGTTAAAGATATGATACGAGTGATTGAGAAAATTATGGGTCAATCAATTAAAAAAATTTTAAGAAAAAATTAATTTATCAGAGTTTCCCAATACTTTTCAACTAATTTTATAAGGCCACTTCTAATTTTAAGACGCATCATTATATTAGTGAAAATAGAAAAGTTCATTTATACTGTACTCTTATTTTCATCAGATATCTCACAATATTAACAGAAAAAAATTCCCTGCAAATCCTAAGATTGATCACTAAATATGAATAATTTATATTATATATATATACAAAATAATTATGTTCATGCACAAAAATCATTCTACTAAATTAAACTTACAGGCTATTTCTGTCAGTTGCTGCTGATTCAGAAGTGATGGTGACAAACGTCCTGTAAATGTAATTGGTTAAGCTCCAAAGAAGAAGAGCCATGAACATCGTCAAGAACATAACCTCAGTCACTGTCACTATTCCTAATGGTCCCGTCACTAACATTGGTCTTCTCAATGCAGCAAACTTGGCTCTCTTCTTCTCCACTCCGCTTCAAATTTTACAATAAAATTAAAAAAATAGAAAGAATCTAATATTAACAACAAAAAATCAAAAGCTGTTAACTAAAGACTGACAGTTTAGTTACCTGTTAAATTGATTAACAGTTGTTTGTTTCATCAAGTGAAGGTAGATACATCCCAGAAAAGCCAGTAGAATCATCGGGAACATGTAAACCAAAAGGTTCACTCCTAATAAAAATTAACCATTATATGTAATTGATATTCGTTTAAATAAATTTTAGATCTGTATCGAGTGAATTACCTTGTTTCCCATAGTACATCGATTTGCCGAGCTTGGCACGCATGGGGGTTAACCAGATTTCCTTGTATGTAGAAGTTGGCATCATAATCCAGATCACTATAGTCCCCATCAAAATCACCATTGTTACGAACTTAATCACCTTCTCAGTCACTTCCTTATTCATTTCTCCTAATCCCATGGTACAAGAGATGAAACTCCAAGAAATGAGAAGAAAAAACAAAGTGAAATGGAGTTTGCAATAAATTTTACAAAACCCACATATATATATATATATATGCTAATGTTTTCCAGCATATATATATATAGAAATATTTTTCCAGCATATGTATATATATGCCAATTACATCAATATAATTAGTAGTTTTATGATAAATGCAGAAAAGATCCAATAATTAAATATGTTGAGATGTTAAAGATATAGAGAGTAGATTCTTTTATCTACTACTCTTATATAAGAGAAATAATATGTAAGTCATTTTCTATGGATTATATTATTATTTTAAAATAATAATAAAATTTATAAGAAACATATGTTCTGGTGAATACTGAATATAGAAAAAAATTCAATAACAAATTAATTGTTATTATTTAAAAGTGATAATATTATCTAGAGAAATTATATTTAAGTCTTTTTATAATTAATTTCTGATTTACGGTTTCATTTTATTGCTGACTTAAAAATAGACTTGACTCGTGGAAGAGTCTAAGTAACGACTGTAACGTGTGTAATTTTCCTCATTTCACATTGAGAACGAAATTCTATAATTATGGGCTTGTAATTAAGAAAATAACGGAAAGCAGAATCATTGAGTTTCACGTTACAAGTCCTCTGGAGTGTGTCTTTGGTACGCCGATGTGTGTAGACCTATTTGTACACGAATCTTCACGTGTCAAACAAACTCTTGATCACATAATTAGGTTATCCAAACAATAAACGTATATATTTTACATATAAGATATTTCTGTTCTCTTTTTTTTTTTTTTTTTTGTCAACAATTTTATTCCTTGTAGTGAGTTTTGAATAATCAATTATACGGAAAACCACACTTAAATTTATGAATTTTACATTAAATTTCTTTAGAAACATTTGAAGTCAGTTTTGTATTTTTGTTTCACATGACATAAGCCATGAGTTTTCAACCATGATCTTTTTGTTAGTTACACACTAAATTCTAGCAGTCACATAACAATAATAACACAAATATTAAATAAGTTGATGTATATATGTCAATTAGGTATGTGAGGAGTCTGTTATTTTACTTCCTTTTACTTTAATCGAGTTATTAGTGATATGTCAATTGAAACGGTTTATTTTTTTAATGTTCACGTAACTTCTTCTTCTTCTTTTAACCACTAATTAGGTAATTTGTGCTATCTGCAAGATACCATTGACACATGAGTTATGATAGATCCAAGTATTAATATCTCTAATATAATGTATAACCCAATTAGTTTCGAGAAAACTGATTTGTTTTTTTTTTTTTAAGTTTAACAAAAAATAGAGATACAATCATATCTTATATATGACCCAACATGAGTTTATTATATTTCAACATTTACAATTTACAAAAGCTTTATGCATCCTGTTACAACCAAATGGATATTACTGAACTTTGGAACGAAAGGGGGAGGGATTTTTCACACTAAATATTCCTAGAAGAGAAAAACAAAAAAAAAACCCCCGGAAAAGTCAATGTAACAAGCACACAAAGATAGGTCAAATCACAGGCCCACCTTATTAACTTGCAACTCAAGCAAATCCCATAACACATAGTAAAAACAGAGTTGTATACGCAATCACCAGCTGAAACTGATAGATTCAAAATGAAGATTCTCAGCCAAACCAGAGGAACATATTTCCGCAACCTTTTGTCTCATCTTCTTCGGACCACACACAAGAACTCCCACACTCGAACCTTCCATATCAAGTAGAAGTTCTGCTCATATAAACCAACAAAGAACATAATTAGAATAAACAATTACTTGTATGTATAATATAGAGATAGAGAAATTGAAAGAAGGTCATGTATATATTACTCTTGAGATTAGGTCTTTCTCCGAAATGCAGGTTGGTGCGTTGCACGAGCGATTCTTGTGGCGTACTTTCGATTTCTCTCAAGGAATTGTAACCCCATGAGGTAGGAGAAGATGTTGGAGATGGACGGTCGACGTTCTGGACCTGTTTACTTTCAACGTTACTGTACTTCTTCTTGTTCCACAACATAGCCGCACTAGAAGTCGCCATGATACTCACGGAGATGACTAAGATATATATGATGGTCTTTGAAGTCAATGAATAGATCTTGTTGGTGTTGTGGTCGATCGGGTAAATGTAATATCTACTGATGATACCAATAATTATCATGAAGATCAAGAACGAAGATGCGAGAATTGCACCGAGCCAAAGCCATGAGTTTGGTCCGAGGATTGATGAGATGGATTGGTCTGAAAGACTTGGTTTGAACCAGAGAGTTTTGATTTTCCCAGCTGTTGCTTCGACTCCAGCTTCTTTCTCTCGGGTTATGAAAGCTTCGATTTTGATGTTTATGTTGGAGGATAGTTCAGTCTCAAGACCGGATAACGGCAAGACAAGATCGAGCATGGAAATTTCTGAAGTCTTCTTAAACGCACAAATCAGAGTAATTTTGGGGATTTTGCATGTTTCTTTTTGGCTTGTGGCGATCAAATCACGAATAACAGAGATAAACGGAGTTATCCCGCTTCCTCCGCACACCATAACCAAAGCTTCATGCCTAGAATGCCCAAAAAAACGAATGAAATCAATGTTTCTTGAAATGCAAGTCAATCAAGTTTCCGGGACTCTAACAAATCTGTATATCAAGTTATTAGATAGGTGCTTGAGAAAGTGTATATAAATCACCTTAAGAAATCGGTGGAAGCAGGGCCGTAAGGACCTTCTACAGAAACAGCAAGTCGGTCGATCTGATCAGAAGAAGAAAGTCTGTGGTGAAGCTTAGTTGACCATTTGCCTTCTTTCTTGATGACAACACTTAGCTTCTCTGGTTCGAGTTTGCTACTCGACGTTATCGTAAATGGATGCCATTGCAGCTTTGAAATGCTCGGTATGTTCACAAACATTATGCTCGTCGGGCTATAAACCAACTCTATAAAACAAACAAAAAATAATTTAGAATTGGATCATCCAATAAGGGTGAACTTATCATATACTTAGTGAATTGGACAAAAGTTGCTCACTAGAGTTTTTGGAGAAAGTGAGCTCCATAGTGTCGGAAGGAAGAACCCGAGCAGAGAGCAAGCGAACATTTTCACGTGACTGAAGAAACCTAAGGAAACGATCGACTAAGAAAATGTAGAATCCTGGGAGAGCGATGAAGGAGAAAGTTATGCCAACGTGGAGGACGAAGAAGAGCATGAAGACGATGTAGAGATAGTGAGTGTAAAAGAAGACTTCGAAGAATCTCCTCCTTATCTTCGGATATGTGGTGGCCCACATCATAAGTCCGGCCACCAGAGCTATTTCTCCGGCCAAATTCGAGACATCTTTCGTATCCCACATGATCATCTGCGATTAAATATTAATTCATTGCACGTCAGATTATATTTACTCTACCAAGTTTAAATTTCGATTCTTGTAGTCCTAGTGTGAAATGAAATGCAGTATTTCGAAGCTATCACATTAATTAATTTACCGGAGTACGAGTCGTATATTTTGGAGTATACGAATTTCTAAAGAGAAAAAGAACATTTATCCAAATAATTACCACCTTAAAATGCGTGATGCAATTAATTTCGGATCAACAAATTGAATTGCGTTATCTACACATTTATGCCACGTGAAGACCCAAAATATTAGATTTGACCGTCCGTATGGAAGCTGCTCCATTCAGAGTGACTACTTTAGAGTCGTTGACTTTTTGATGGGACCCAATAGTGGACTATTTTAGGCCACAATCGAATCTATGGGTAAATTTGAAAATTTCTTATCTATCTATATATGAACCGTACCGCTTTAATTAAATCTTCAAGAAAACAAAAAAATATATATACCTGGGAGATTTCATGCATAGAGGCCCAGTATATGATGTAGCAAAGACCATGAACCGTGAAAAGGGCCATGACCATGTGGCCGAGCCAAATATGGTATTTGATGCTTGACTCCGAGGTTAATCCCATTGCCGGTAGTAACGATGACCCACGAGCCACCGGTAAGAACAAGAACGCTAGACATATGTTTCCGATCAGTCCTAACCTTAGCGCCGCTGATTCCAGCTTCGCTTGCCACCTTAATTCATATGTGAGAACCAATTAACTATGATAAGGACTTTACAAAGATTTTTTTATTTATTTATATAATAATAATTTGTGATAGATTTAAAAAATAAATGAAGCACATAATGTACTGTTGATGGACTGATTAATCTTGGGGTATATGTTCACATAATAAGTAGAAACTGATCCATAATTTCGACTGACAAAGCGAAATTATTGGACTAATTATATATATATTTTAGATGGCGAAAGAAGAGAAAGAAAAACTTACAAAGATTCGTCATGTGCAGCAGCTGATTTAGGAGTGATAGTGGCGAAGCTATTGCGCAAATAAGTGATAAAGCACCAAAGAAGAAGAGCCACAAACATCGCCAAGAAGGTGATCTCAGTCACTGAGACTATTCCTAATGGTCCCTTCACTAACATTGGCTTTCTTAGTTTACTCCACACTCCTCCCTTCGTCTCCCTTTTTCCGAATTAAGAGAAACAAGTTATAATCAAAGAAAGTGATGCAATTTATATACCTAAGTTAACTGATTAATTTGTACCTATCGATATGGTCTGACGACTTTCGGTTCTTGAAGTGAAGATATACACATCCCAAACAAGCTACGACCATCATTGGGAACATATACATGAAAAGCGTCGTCCCTGCCGTGCAAACCAAGAAAAATGAATTTTAGAATTTCATTTTTAATCAAATTGCGTTAAAAATAACCGGCTGATGAAACAAAGATGCGTTAAAAATTGGAAATTGTTGCGTCTACATGATTTATGATTATGTTAAATAATTGGAAATTATTGATCATTCAGTTACCTGTGGCACCAAAATAAGTTGATGTTCCAAACTTGATACGCATATGTGGCAACCACTTGGTTCGGTAGGTTAGTGTTGGCATCATGATCCAAAGCATGATAGTTCCAAGGAAAATCACCATCATGAAGAACTTAGTCACTCCCTTAATCATATCCTTAAACTCTTCTCCTGCAGATGGGTTCGAACCACTACCGTTATTGCTTTTGGTGATCTCCATATCTCTCTCTTCTCAGATTCTTTCTCGCTCTCTCTGTCTTCTCTCAGATTTTCTCTCCCTCTCTCGCTCGCTAAAGATCTTAAGAGATACGATCGCTTTAGTGAGAAGGATCGAGCTAGCTTAGCTTGTTTTGAGAGAAGTAGTGGTAGAGAAAGTGTTATATAAAGAGAGAATTTTGAGTGGGAAATGGATGAAGTAAGCTAGTTGCATGCTCCATGCATGTGACTCTTCCCCCATGGATCTTGTTTTTTGTTTTCTTTCAATTATTTTACATCTATTTGTTGTTTTTTGGCGAGATGACGTAAAAAAAACAGGCAATAAAAGAATATATGATATGATTAGAAAAATTCGTTTATCGATATTTGAATATACTGTATGTACAAATCACGTTAAATTTGAATAAAAATTATGAATTTATGGTAACAATATTTTGGAACCCAAATAAAAAACTTTTTTTTTGGTTAGATTCGAACTAGTTTCAAATTTGTATTGAACATGCGTTAGTTACCCCGCGCATAAAAAAAGACATGCATGATCGAACCCAACCTAACTTAAATCTTTTGCGTTTAGAAAATCACTCATAAGTCGTAAGATGTCAACTAGCTAGTTAATTCTGGTAATGATAATTACTTTTTTTCTTTTTATATATCACCAAATATTATATATGCCTGATCTTTCTGTGTCTACTCTTAATGTCAAACAATTTAGTATTCAGCGATGGGGATATGTTTCCGATCGATTTCTGTTTTTTAACTCTGAAAAAGTAGGAATTTGAAGTTTATAGCATGTAGGATTATTAAAATACATTTTGACTTGAGAAAGAGGCCAAGGACCATGCTACCTTATATCGCTCATAGCTTGTACTTGTTAATTAACTATTCTGTTTGGTATTAATCGGATAAAACATGTCCAAATACATTCTAAACATAATATTTAACTTTAAGAGGTTATTGGTTGTGTACTTTATAATCTATGTAGAATTAAAAAAACACTTTAATATCGAATTTATTGATTTTAAATCAACATATAGATTTTACCTAATATATAAAAAATTTGTCTAAAATAATTAATTTACTTTCACATTTATGCTTTTGTATTTTTAATTTGAAAACTGTTTGAAATTTGTTAAAACTTAAATCAAATACATAAATGAAAATTTAGGTACAAGAGTCATACAATAAAATATACTATTCATATTAATGACGCAATAATGATTAAAAGGTAGCATAAAAGTTGCTCTAGAACTAAGAAAAAGCGACGACGGACTAAAGAAAGATATGAGACCTCCCAAATTGGATGGTTGTAAGGAATCAGGTTCGTGTTCGGTTTTGGTAGGTTCGACGGTTCGTGACCGTACGTACGTGTGTAAAAGACACGTGTCATATGAGTGTCACTGTCTCCTCCGTCCACGAATCTCACGCGTGTCAACAAAATATGTCAATTTTAAAGCCAACGAGGAAAAGATGAAAATCAGGCCCATTCCCATTCCTCTTCTTTTCTTCCTCATCATCATTACATTCATCACACTTATTATGTTTTGACTTTCTTTTTATAATTATAATTTTTGTTTTATTCGAACAATTCATATACTACTAACTTTCAGCATCGAATATGATTTATATCTTAAAAGCTTTTACATTTGTCGACAAACATTAAAAAAAAAAGCTTTTACATTTTCGAATTAACTAATGTTTATTAGAAATTCACTTCGATTATCCCACTCGGTCGACTCAAATACAAACACAAAGATATCAATTGCCGAGAGAGCCACCCAACTAAAACAAAGACCATTGACGTAAAAACCAAACTATAGTGGCTTAGAAAATCTAATGAATTCATACATATCGACAAACTCCAGATATCACCAAAGATATACATACACCATCAACCTCTCTATATAGTAAGTAGTATATAACAGTAACATCAACACTCTTTTGCAACATATATAATCAGAGAGTATTGATGATCGTTACCCGAGAATAAGTTATTTAGCTTTAACCTCTGAAAGGTTCACGGCATTCTCGTTCCAAATCCTTCCACGGATTTCGGATTGTTATTATCTTCTGGTACATTATCCGACAACCTCAACCAGCCGAATCCGTCCTTTGCTTTCCTCCTTTGAGTTACAATGTAAACACTCATCAAGATACACATGAAAGCCACCATTGACATAAACAAGCTAAGGTTTCTTCTGTTGGGACAATGACTAAGTATCATTTCCGTGGAAACAGACCCATCAAGACTTCCCAATGTGTTATTCATCTTCATGATCTCGACTCCGTTCAAGATCGCATCAACAACGTGTTCAATACTCTTATTTGATGGTCCAACACTTAAGCTTATCAAACCCGAAGAAGAGTTCTCACCATCTACGACAAAATCTATGTAATACGGGGAAGCCAAGACGTAATTTGTGGCATCTGACATATCCAAATCTTGATACGCCAAATTCCCGTTGATGTAGATGTTGAAGTATAGCATACCAAGAGACATACTAGCTATATCGCAGAAATGCAATCGGATTAGATATTTATAACCACTGCTCACTGGAAACTCCCATGTCATATTAACCTGAGAAACCGAGCCATTGTTGCTCTTCACCACGCGGGCAGTGTTATAGAGGTTATCAGGGCCAACTTCACGACTTGCCCCTCCAAGCCTATACTTAATCCTACCAGAGAAGTAAACTTTCTCAGAACCATCACTGACTTTGAGGAATCTCTCATCAGGAACCCAAGTTCTCCACCATGTGTCGTTAAAAGGAGTAACTTTTCTTCCACCAACATTGATTCTGTAAACAACTTCCATTGCTTGTTTAACTAAACCATTGAGTTTCTCAGTTGCTCCATCATTGGATACAGAGGTCACTACGTCTGCAATCAAATCCTTAGGTGCAGAGATAACTTCAATAGCATTAACGAACGCTAATTTCGAATCTTTACTAGGAACAAACCTAATAACGACTTTTCCAACATCGACCCAAATCAAGAATTCTCTAACCCTAGGACCAAAAGCGCCACTAAAATTCCTAAGCACCACATATCCATTTACCGTGACGTGAAATTCAGCATCACTGAAATCGATTTTGGAGGAATTGAAGCGATGGAAATGAATACGTACCATCTGAATCCCATTCTCGACGACGTTGAATTCGTATTTCGCCTGTCGCGTGAAAATTCTCGCGGTCTTGTAGATCTGAGCTAGGTTCGGAGCTGGAATTTCCGATTGAAGAGTGATTGAACCTACCGATGAGAAAAGCTTTCCATTAGAAGAAGCTGAAACATCGCCGATGAAGCGGCGATTGTCGACGGTGGAGTCAACAACTGAGCCACAATCGATGAGGTACTCGTCGGCCGGAGAGAATGAAATAGCGACGGAGACGAAGAACAAAGTAGAGAAAAGGAGAACGAAGAGACGGAACTCACAGAGAATCGCCATTATCGCAAATGGATTTCGAGCAGACGAATCAAATGGGCCAAGCCCACTAACCCATTGCATTTCAACTAAATACCCATTAATAAAAAGTCTAGGTCAATAAAGATTAAAATTAAAAAATCATATAAAAGCTCGAAAGTTCAAAAATATTATTCTATAACTAACCTGTGTGAAGTGAAACTCTTGGTAACAATAAAAACGTAAAAGAATAGATAAGAATTCTATTTCACAGGGAATTCAACAAATTCATCATCTTTACAAGTTCCTACATCGATTACCATCGTCCCATTCTTCTTCATAGGCAATACTCTACAACAATCTCTTCTCGGAGCCTGAAATTATCACCACAAAAAAAATGAATCAATTTCACCAATAAACCAATAGAGAAACAAAACTTAAAAAAATTGATATATAGTTTACTAACCCTATGTTTATTCCATCTATCCGGGTCGGGTTTCTTATAAACAATGACCCGTTCAATTTCCGAAGGATCCGACATATCCCAGTCACATTCAGGCTCCCACATGTCATACCTCACGTACTCACTAGCAGTTCTATGCAATGCCAAGTCAGGAAGCGCGTTGGATAGGTAATACACTCGCGGACGCTGACACGCGCTCTTGGCGACTGGACGCGTGTTAAAAGCGTAGCTTCTCTCGTCAGCTTGTTTGTACCAGTCGATGAACGTGCGCGTGGGGATCACCATCTCTTTAGCTGACAACACGCCACGTGTGATCTGAACTGTGTAACCCCACGAGACAGACACGGTCCATCGGTGGTCCACGTCGTAGCAGATTGACTGCTGCGCGAGGCTCGCTGAGTCCAGCTTTGCGGAGACCATGAAACGTCTCATGGCGTTGACTCGGCCCATATTTGGGAATACTGGATCCACTAAGTCTAAATGATGGATCGAGACTAGCGGAGCCAATGGATGGGCCGAGAGCAGGCCTAGAAGTTTCCCATATAAATCAATCTGTTACAAGTTACAACACAACAAAATCAAAACAACAATGTGAAAAGAATTATCGAGAATGATATATTCTAATAAGCGATAGGTATAAGATCGAGAAAATAGTGGGGGACAGAGATTCCAAAAATTGATATATCTGATATGATTTAAGTTAAGATTTCGGTTGGGATGTTCCTGATCTATCATAGGAATAACAAAAAAAAAAAAATGTGAAAAGAAACTAGAATAAATAAATTTTAAATGAATAATGTGAATGCACGGAGGAATGTAAGTGTAACACGTACAAAAACTACTAACGACATACTAATTTGACTTGAGAGTTAAATAGGCTTTAGTGCTCCCAAGGACTTATGTAAGCCTAAGATCTATATTAGTGCCGAGATTATCGCCATACAAAATATACATTTTACTAAGATTATATAAATGTTTTTAATTTTATGTTGATGTGATATATATACATAAAAGTCTTAACAGAAACTTAAAAAAAAAAAATATCAGAATGCAGTCATGCACTAACAAAGTAAAAGATTGTAACAGCTTTTGCATTTGATATCTACTAAAAGATATGAGTGTTAATGAAAAAAAGTTAGAAGTTTAATTATAGACTTTGCCTAATATAATAAATGCATTTTTAAGTTATTCTGTTTCCTAAACAAAACCTACCTAATAAGATCTTGACCCTTAAAGCATAAAAATAAAAACAGTCTATGAAAAGGTAAAAAAATGGAAATCAAATAAATTTTCACCAAAAAAAAGGACAATGTATGAAAAATCTTCAAATGGAAATTTAATTTAATTTTAAGGAAAATAAAAATAGAGGACTAACCTGATGGAAGCCAACTTCTTTAGTCAAAGGAACACCGAGTTCCGACATACAAGCATGAATCCGATCATCGGAGCCGTACAATTCCGCATATCTCTGAATACAACGATCTTGCATCTTCTCCAATGCTTTAGCCAACGGATAGCTAATCGCGAACCCTCCTCCTCCATAAGCCATCCCATAAGAGAACTTCAGATTCTGAATATGACTCTCCGACGAGCTTCCGATGTAATAAAACTGATTATGATCGTACTTTCTCAAAACCTTAACAAGATTCTCCGGGAAAAACACAGTGTCGTCGTCTCCCATCACAATCCACCTCACGTTTTTCTCAGACTCTGTTCCGTTCAAGAGCCTCACTGTCTCCGAGACGATTCTCGTGATTCTTATCGCCGATCGGAGTCCCTTCGGGTATCGATACTTAAACCTCGACGTGTCGGAGGAGATTCTGAGCGGAGGTAATGTGTTCGAAACGTTGTCGTTTTGGTCAATGTGTTGGTCCAACCAAACGACGCCGTTCATTTCACCGTTTGGTTTCCACCAGAGCTTCACGTAGTCTCTTCGGTGTTTCCAGAATTTCGCAGAGGCGGCGATTCCGAAAACGACGTGCTTGAGTTCGGTTTGTTCCGGTTCATGAACCGACCCGGATCCGGATCCGACGGGTGAAACAGAGAATTTGATCAGAGATCGAGGTTCAGAAGAAGAGGAGATGAAATTTAAAGGGTAGAAAACGAATTGAAGAGAGAAAAGAATGGCGAGAATTAAGAAGATTAGCTTCGACATCAGCCAATAAAATGAATAATGTGAATTACATGAAATGTTTTTAGCTTTCAAGTATGAAGAAAGCTGCTTTTGATCTTTCTTATCGTCTCCCATGGCGGGAAATAACTATAACTCTCGGCGAATGAGGAAGACGACGACGAAGTAACCGAAACTACGCCGTTTTACTTGGGTTTTGGTTTTTCCTTTTTTTTTCTTGTCGTGGTGGTGAGTCACTGTGGGGAGGTTTCAGAGAAGAAATTAAAAGCTCTTAAAGGAGATGGAGCAGATGAAACGATTATTTATTTTAAGTTATTATCATTATTTTAGTCTTTATCCTATGGAAAGGAAATATTTAGTCGTTATTCGTGTCAACTATTAATTTTAATTTTCTTATTTAGTTATTTACAAACAAAGAAATGGCATGAAAATATTTGACTGTATCTATTAGCACCGGTCAAATCTACCATATGCGAATGATCAATGCTTATTTTTGGTAATTACTTGATATTTTTAGTTATTTTTGATTATAATTTATTTGATTTTGTATCGATATATATTTCACTTTTCATAATAAACTTAGGTAAGGTATATTCAACTGTTCACGAGTAAATTTTAAAAAGAAAAAGATAGAATATCTAGGTGATACCCATAACCTACTCTCTTGTTTTAGCCATACCATAACCTACTACAAAAAACAGAACCAAAACAGAAAAAACAGAGTAACAGGATAGTTCAAATGTTGAAGAAAACAAAGAATTGGAAATTTGGAAACATATGCGGTCATTACAACTGATGAAGTAAAAAAAGTCGTCTATTTTAAAATTTAGAAGTTTAGGGTTAAAAGATTAACACATGTTGAGTTTGGTGGTGAGCTAGATTTAATGCTATAATAATTTATAGGTACAGCTACAAGTGATATTCCAGCTTTTTGGTTTGGTTTGTTTTGTTTATTTGGTTTGTGAAATTTTTGGAAAATCAAATGAAATTGTAACTGAAACAAAACTAATATTTAAATAAAATTATTTCGATTTGGTTGAATCTACTTCAACCTGGATTTGGATTATTTGGTTCAAGGATCTATGTAAGAGATTAAGTTTCCGTAATTAATTTTTGCATAATTCGATTTAGTTTGGTTAAAAACTGGGTTTACACCTACATCTGTGAGTAAATCTAGGTGAGATCTTGCATCAGTAGTATGGTGAGCTTTTATTTTTATTGTTTATATTTTTCTATTTAAATAAAATTAAAAGTTTTGTTAATTCTTCCTTAACAAAATTTCCTAGCTAGTTTTGGTTTACCGGTTTTAAGATTTGGTAAGCGACTCCATATCTTTAATAATCGATAATCATAGGAATGAAGGAAGTAGTGTTTACTTTAGGAATACACTTTCCTGAGTTTCTTCTTCTCATTATTAAGCCTACAAAGAAAACACTTGTTGTGTCCCCATTTTGACTTTTTTGGTTTCTCCTTTAATGCCTTTATATCTTCGATTTTTACCGATGAAATTCCTTAAATTAACCAAAAACTGAAAACCAAAGTGGGACATGGCAGCGGAATATTAAGTAAGAAAGATGTCATTGAATAGTATGTGAAAGTCAAAATAGTTACGCTGACTTTAGTTACCATGCGACTCGTAAATAAATGACATCATTATATATATGACTTCATATACATATCATATTTTTAATATTTGTGTATATATTTGCCTTTTTTAATGTTGTAGAAAAGGCTGTTACATTATTTAAACTAGATTTGTCATCGGCTTTAAAATGTTTCGATGTGGGACAAAAAAACTTTCTTATTAAACGTTCACTTTGTCCTCACATCCATACATTACAAGTTTCAAATTAACCGAATTGGGCCAAGTTACTTGGACCGGACCCATGAAAATAAAAGGAAACTGATAAGTCGGCGTTATACTGTGCACATCCCACATCGTTTAGTTGGAACTTGTCCCTTGAAACTTGTCCTATAAATTAATGCACCTGCTTCTTTAGTAAGATATCAACTGGACTTTAAAGTCACGGCCCATTTTTTTATAAAAGGCCTCTGGGATTTAAATGAATTCCAACGTAAGTCGGCCGATTCGGCCGCCCACTTAATGGGTTAGGCCCTAGTTTTTTTTTCTCACAGGTTTTTTCGAGTCTTTTTGTAAAAATTGTTTTCAACGTTTTGTTTTTTTTTTTTCTTTGATAAGTGTTAAATTTTTTAATTTTGTGTAAACTAATTGGATACAACATCCAAACCCCTAAGAGGTGTTTTAGGTTCAATATGGTTTACACATTATTAAATTTTTAACACTTGTATTTTTTTAAAAATGTTTTGTTTTTTTTTTCTTTTTTTTTGATAAGTGTTAAATTTTTTAATTTTGTGTAAACTAATTGGATACAACATCCAAACCCCTAAGAGGTGTTCTAGGTTCAATATGGTTTACACATTATTAAATTTTTAACACTTGTATTTTTTTAAAAATGTTTTGTTTTTTTTTTTCTTTTTTTTTGATAAGTGTTAAATTTTTTAATTTTGTGTAAACTAATTGGATACAACATCCAAACCCCTAAGAGGTGTTCTAGGTTCAATATGGTTTACACATTATTAAATTTTTAACACTTGTATTTTTTTAAAAATGTTTTGTTTTTTTTTTTCTTTTTTTTTGATAAGTGTTAAATTTTTTAATTTTGTGTAAACTAATTGGATACAACATCCAAACCCCTAAGAGGTGTTCTAGGTTCAATATGGTTTACACATTATTAAAATTTTAACACTTGTATTTTTTTTAAAATGTTTTGTTTTTTTTTTCTTTTTTTTTTGAAAGTGTTAAATTTTTTAATTTTG